ACGGGCTTTCTCTAGTTGCGGCAAGTGGGGGTTACTCTTCACTGAGGCACGTGGGCTTCTCATTGCAGTGGCTTCTCTTGTTGTGAAACATGGACTCTAGGCATGCGAGTTTCAGTAGTTGTGGCATGCAGGCTCTAGAGTGTAGGCTCAGTAGTTGTGGCACACATGTTTAGTTGCTGCATGGCATGTGGGATCTTCCTGGACCAGGGCTTGAACCCATGTCCCCTGCATTTACAGGCAGATTCTTAACCACTGCACCACCAGGGAAGTCCCAGTATTCTTCAACATTGTTTGTTCTTTATACCCTCTAGGTCTTTTTTAAACATTTCTTCATCTTCTCAATCTGTGTCACCATTCTTTTTCAAAGATGTTGGATCATCTTTGCTTTCATTACTCTGAATTATTTTTCAGGTAATTGCCTATCTCCATATCATTTAGTTGTTCTTCTGGGGTTTTATTTTGTTCCTTCATCTGGAACATATTTCTCTGCTGTTTCATTTTGCCTGTTTTCATTGTCTCTGTTCCACAGGATGCAAGGCTCTAGTTTCTCTTGCTTCTGCTATCTGCCCATGGTGGGTGAGGCTGGTCTAGATGCTTGTGAAGGCTTCCTTCCTTCCTCCACTCACTTGTGCTTGCCCACTGGTGAGTGGAGCTGGGCTTTGTCCCTTTGGTGGGCAGGGCTGTGTCAAGTGGTGTGTTTACAGGCAGCTGTGGGCTCAGTAAGACTTTCACAAGCCTGTCTGATGATGGGTGGGGCTGTGTTTCTGCCCGGTTCGTTGTTTGGCCTGAGGTATCCCAGGACTGGAGCCTACAGTCTGTTGGGTGAGTCCAGGTCTTGGCATCAAAATGGCAGCCTCCAGAAGAGCTCATGCCAATTAGTACTCCCTGGCACCTCTGTCACTAGTGTCCTTTTTCCTACAGTGAGCCATACCTGCCCCACCCCCACCTCCCCAGGATACCCTTCAAGACCAGCAGGTAGGTCTGGCCCAGGTTCCTATGAATTCACTGCTTTTTCCCTGGGTAGTGTGCATGAGAACTTGTGTGGGCCCTCCAAGAGTGGAGTTCCTTTTTCCACAAGTCCGGTGGAGCTTCTGAGATCAAGTCCTGCTGGCCTTCAAAACCAAATGCTCTGGGAGTTCCTCCTCCCAATGCCAGACCCCTAGGCTTGAGAGCCTGATGTGGGGCTCAGAATGCTCACTACTGTGGGAGAACCTCTGTGATATAATTATTTTTCAGTTTGTGGGTCACCCATCCAGTGGATATTGGATTTGATTATATCGCACATGTGCCCCTCCTACCATCTCATTGTGGCTTCTTCTTTGTTTTTGGATGTAGAATATCTTTTTTTGGTAGGTTCCAGTCTTCTTTGTCGATGGTTGTTCAGCATTTAGTTGTGATGTTGGTGTTTTCTTGAGAGGAGGTGAGCTCAAGTCATTCTACTCCACCATCTAGTCTCCAAATCAGGCTGTAGTATATTTCTAATAAGATCACATTTACAAGGCAATCTTGGCATATTTTGTTTACAAGTATTTTTAAGATTCTATGTAACTGAAGCATCAGCAACATATGCCACAATTAAATGTTCAACAGGATGGACTCATGTCCTAGTGATGAAAGATTAATTCAAAGTTAGATCTGTGCTTAATGAAGAGCTGGATATAAGCATATAATATACAATTAAAGATTTGGGGGTTTAGAAAATTATATCTATATCATAAAAACAATACACAGGATATATTCAGTCTAGAGAATACTTAGAGTTTCAGTATCTCTACATTTGGGCATTTAAAATTCTTTTGTATTTATTTGAGACAGCTAGATGCTTCATTACTATAAATACAGTGATATATATATTTTAGTTGTCTAATTAGAAAAACCTGAGTTTATTAAAGACCTGGTCATTTAATGATCATAATATTTTAATAAGTCAACTGATTTTCTTCAGTGATATAAATTTGCATTAGAAGTATGAAGTATGATTAGAAAATGTTTGTCACTACATTATTTTACTATTCTCTTAGGCAATCTCCATGTTTCATTTATCACAAGTGTGTGCAAATGACATTCAGATTTACTCCCCTGACTTAGATCTGAATTTCTAAGATAAACTTTAATGTATCCTTGGCATTTTAAACTTAAGATTATCAGGACAAAATATAAATTTTCTACCTCTAAACTCTTTTCATTCCTTTCTTTCTTTGGTTAATGGTGTCATTATACTTCTCGCCATTTCTGCATTTAAAACTTCTTTTATTCCTACCTTCCCAAGTCATACAGTATAACTTCCACTAAGGCACTCTTGAACAGCTTGTGGTTGCCCAGCCTCTTTCTCTCTCTCACTTCACCACACACATAGAGACACCAACCAGCCTTCTCCCTCTTTCCACAATTCATCTATGTCAGCCAACGCCCAAAACATGCCTTATGTTTGTTCATTCTATGTCTGACTCTTTCATACATTTTTATTAAGTGAAGTGATTTAGAAAATTGGGCAACATACAATTTACTTTCTTAAAATAAACATTGATTACTACCCTTTTTGCTAGTCAGTAATCTGTTCCATGTTTAATCTGTATGTAACCATTTTAAAGTAAGAGAATGGCAAATACTCCAATTAATCAGAGTATAAGGTTGTTGAACAGAATAGGTTCCACCAGCATTAACATCAATGGATTTACAAAATCTCTCAGCTTGTAACTTTAGGAACTTGATTTTGTCAACATTCTGTGTGTTAGTTTGGGTCCTCCCAGAATCAGGATTAGTTGAGATTAAACATGTAAGGAGTTCATTAGGAAAAATGATCTTGTGACAAAAAACTAAATAAATAAAATAAGGAGGGGGGCAAGGAAGACTGGAGAGCCTTCACACTAGAATATCTGACCCAAAGGAAAGAGGTCATAGCCCAGAAGCAATAGTATTAAAGGGAAATTCAACACAGCTGTCTAGGAATCCTTGAGGCACGGGCAGAGGAGAACTGTGACTCCCAAGAATGGACCTATTTTAGCATTTCAACCACATTTGGTCATTGACTGGGGGTTCCTCTTGTGTACCAGGGCCTTGGGAGCAATGTGATTTCAGAACAGAGCGACTCATATTCTAAGTCAGTTACACCTGTATTTAGAGTTCTGCATTCACTTCACCACCACAACCCTGGAAGATGATCCAGTTCTTAAAACAGAGTATATCTAGCTGAGCTCATAAGAAACTTGATTATACACTAACAGTAGTGTTTTGCCTACAGTAAGAACTAACTTAATCTGTAGTGTCAAATATTCATGTTAATATTCACAATAATATATTTTCTAATTCTGGCATAAAGATATTCTCTAAAGTAAATTTTACATGCATGAATTTATCTGCTATTTGTTAATTTTTATCTCAACCCTCAATGTTGACAAAAATAAGAATCTATCTCTTTTTATAATTCATAAAGACCTTTGGGAGTCCATGGATTTTTCTTAGATAAGAAGCTGAAAAGACCTGCTTTCAAATTAGAAATATTACGTGGGAAAATTATGAAATTAATTTTTCATTTTCATGGTGGCTGCTCAGTTCAGTCAGAAGTAGCAATTCATCACATTCCCTGTACCTAATAAAATAGTAGACATGCTTATTCTTCAGTTTGGTTGTTGCTTGAATGTGAAAATTAAGAGGTATAAATTGAGTAATTGTTAAAAACTATAATTTTCTAATATAGCTCTTCTGTCAGTCAACTGTCTTGAGTCCATTACCACTATAATCAGGTGCTGAATAGGATAAATGTGAAAGCAACATGCTAAAAATAAAAAGTAAGTGCTTTGGAGTGACTAGTACTTTTGCTTGTGAACAAGGCAGTTTTTGGACCATGAGGTAAAGCTGTGCTTTAGAAAAGCTTGTAGGCTGAATGCATCCCCTCCATCTTCTAGATGGGGCTGTGAAGGTGAGTGCACGGTTTCCATGTGCTGTTACTATAACTCACAAGTGCAGATCTAACCTGGCTCAAGTGTCCACTACCAGACCTCAGACATCATTTATGTTAACCCAGATATTTCTACAGATATTTCTCGTCTTAACTCCTAGACAGCTCATGGCTTTCACATAAACACATCTTTACAGAAAAAGAATTTACTTGGATTGCCCATTAGGCAAAAATACCAATTATTCAGTTTTGTACTGTTCTACCAGTGTGTGTGTGTGCATTCACATGTGTGTTAGTAAAAAGAGAAACAGGTAAGACTGACACTTGTTTTTTGAAGATAGCATTCATCTTCAGTGACTCAGATCCACTCTTTGGTCCTATTGAAATGACTGATACATTTCCACTGATGAAGGATAGAGATCGCCTCTTTGACTTTGACCAAATCTCTGGCTGTTACTGTGAAGTGTGCCTTCTGCTATGGCTGTCATTCTCCATCAGCCCAATGCTAGAACACAGAAAATTATTTATTTTTAAACATTGCCCCTCAAGTTTTTTAGTTGGATTGCATAGCTTCCCAGTTGTCTGAAACTGATATTTTTTTGCACTTTTTAATTATTTTAACACAGTTTCTACTTTGGTCCTTGGGATTGCCCCTTTTCAGTTTATGCATCAGGAACTATTTGAGTATTATGCAGTCTTTAACAATCTACACGTACTTATACCACTAAAGTTGTTTTTCAGTAATCCTCTTAGTAGCAACCATGACCTTGGGACCTTCCAAGATCTTGTTCTATATTGTTATCTTTCCTTTTCTAGCTAACATATAAAGTGATATCCCAGCAAATCTCATTTGATTTCCTGCT